GAAAATTTCTGATGTCCTTCGTCGGGAAGGTGGTCGGCTTCACGGGCAGCTGCTTCGACCGTCGGCGATGGGGACGACCGGGAGAAACTTGCAAAGACTTGGATGTAATTTGTTTTACTTTCAGGGTTGTCTTTGTAAGTTATGGGATGTAAACTATCAGAGGCTTATGTGAAATATAATCCCGGTTTCTAATTAAAAAAATCTAGGCGAAGCAGACCTATCGGCTTCTCAGAGGCCGATAGGGTGCTTTCCACAACAAACTCCAAGATTTGCAATTATTCATTAAAAAATTATTTAAAAAATTCCTCCCCCTCCCCAGAAAAAGGGAAAAGAAAGGGGAATTGCTCCGGCGACCGGCGGCGAACCGGACGGGATGGACGGGGCCAAGCCAACGGCGCGCGGCGGGTGGGAAGCAGGAGCTGGAAGACGCGCTGCTCCAGATCATGCAACAGCACCACCACCAATCCTTCCACCAACGCCAGCAGACTGGTACGCCGCCAGCCCGCCATTGCTTTGATTTCTGCCCTCTCCTCTGCACAACAGCCAGCCCAAGTGATACCAACAAATCTGATGGCCCTATGATATCTCGCTCCACGCGCACGCACGCACGCACACGCAGAGAGAGCGAAGAAGGACGCTTTGAGAAGCGCGGCGCGGGTAGCGGATCTCCTCGTGGACACGGTCGACGACGGCGAGGTGCAGGAGCTCTTCGTCAACGAGAAGCGCGTCGAGCTTGAGGCCCGCGCGCTGCTCGGTACCATCGCGCGCTACAGGAAGCAGTCGGATCAGTGGCTCGCTGCCACTAACGAGATCAACTCAGTCTTGAAGGTGACTAACTGTGATATGCTTATGCTTATGCTTATGCTGATGCTGATGCCATACCACTCACATGCATCCCCCTTCAATCACATGGTGAAGTTAGAGAATGAGTTTACTCATCTTCTGTTCTCTGAAAAGAAAAATTGGAAAACTGGATGCCATTCCTTTTGTATTGGATGATTTTTTTAAACACGAAAAGTCAATCCAAATCATGTGCTATTTGTTTCTGCTGAAAATCCATTTTTTTAAAAATATATATGTAGGAAATTGGAGATTTCGAGAACTGGATGAAGATTATGGAGTTTGACTGCAAAAGTATCAATGCAGCCATACGAAACATACATCAGTCATGAGTCTGCCTTCCTGCAACCGCAATCTTAGGAAATTTTCTGTTGTTTTGTCCTCTGATTATTGGAATTCTGTGGGCTGCACTGCAGTCAGGTAGATCCCATCCCACTGTGGCATCCTTTCTCAGGCGGAGCAGTTAGAGTTATCCACCCTAATGGTTGTTGAGATAAACAATGTCAAGCAGCAGGAGCATAAGCGGTATAAATACCGTATAGGAACTGGTAAGTTTCCCGGGAACCGTTTCATTCTCATATAACATGAACATAGGTTCTATTATATGAAAGATTGCATATGCCATTCAGTCTTGGCAGCTATATAGTCCAGTAGAACCATTATTATTTATGTTGGCCTCAAGGTCACACTGAAGTCTGAATGTTGTGAAGTTCGTTGTAATAACTAATAAGTTGTTGACACCCGGGTCAAAATATTGTTGTGAATTTGAATCAGAAATTTGCTATGCATTCTGTACGACTACCAAAATATACTTTTGCATAGAAGACTTGTTTTCTTTAGCTATATGATGTGTATAAGCTGAATTTATTGTTTGTTTGGACAGTGACAGTTGTATGTTCATGTCTTGTGGCATGTGCTCGCTGTTCAAGCACTAACCTTTGATGTTCAGCTGTATGTTCATGTCTCCCTTCAGCTGAATTTATTGTATGTTTGGACAGTGACAGTTATATGTTCATGTCTCCCTTCGATCAAGATTACATGGTTCTCGTTTACCTTCCTGCAGTTTTTCCTTATCTGTCCACTGGATCCAGCAAGGGGGCTGATGTTGCTCATCTTCACCATCACTGCACTGAAATCGGTGAAGAATTTGGCCATGTTTGAAGAGCAGGTGGTAGTCTGGGAATCTGCTGAGCCTCCATTGAACAGTTTGTTTGGTCAGAATGCAGAACACCCTTCTTGTTTAACAAGTTTGATGTTGTTGTCACCAGTCTTGTTCGGACAGTTTGATTTCAGTGATGTTGCAAGGGATGTATCGATGTTAGTTTCACTGTATATGCAGTTACGGAAGTTGCTGCTTCTTGCTTGCCCAATGGTGTGACCTTCTCACTTTTTTTTCTCTCTCTATTATAAGTGAGGTCTTTCATGTTTGAAATATCAGAATGCCCCTTTTATCAGATCATATCAGTTAGTGGATCTATTATTTATGGTGCCAAAATTGAGTTTATCCTTGTTCTTTCTGGCTCAAACCTATTTACAAATCCCGGACTTTTTTTATCCAACAATGCATTGTGTTGTGCAAGAGTTTCGGATTTACCTAATTGTGAAAAAAAATTTACTCTGTTCATCAAATCTTCTGTCCTGTTTCACTCCTTTCTTGATAAATAAAGTTTATATAAATATCTTCTTGAAAATGACCTGGGGGTGTGTTGACATCATTTTTGGTGGCTGTGTGAGAGTACAGATTGCTGGGGAAAACACGCATGGAATTCCTCAATAAATTTTGACAGACGGAAAGAAAGGTTGTTACAAGGATAACAAAATGGCAGTACAATCATCAGAGTTTTATTGGAGCTTGTACTTGTATAATCAAAATTGAAGAAAGAAAAAGAGTAGTAGCAACTAAGAATCCAGTATTTGATCGACAAGCAAAAGCATCAAAAACAGCCTAACAAGTACTCCATCCCAAATTGCATTCCAACAATCTTGGAGAGTCAAAACATTTTAAGCTTGACTAAAAAATATCAAGAAAAATACAAAGATTTATGACATTAATTAGGTATATTACGAAAATATAATTGATGAAGAATCTAACAATACTTAGTTGGAATTATAAATGTTTTTATATCGTTATATGAAAACTTAAGATTCAAGGAATGACTTATAATTTGGGATTGAGGGAGTAGCAAACTTAAGAATCCAGCTTCCCATCCTCGCTCAGTGCTCGATCGATGGTAGCAGTGTTCAGTTGAGGTCTCAGTGACGGATCATCAGGACTTGCTTCCAAACCGGAAAACCTGTGGATGCAGCACAACGGAGTGACGACGGTAGCACATTTCGCAGACTTTGCGGGCATCATCATGTCCACACTGAGGTTTCCTCTGATGAACACCAGGATGCGGAAGACAAAACCGACGGGAGCAGACAGAATGGTGTCCAATTTGCCACTCCGACGTTTAGAATGCCCAAGAGGGAAACCCCAGACGCTGTAGGCTTCAGTAACCGGCTCATCCACCAAGGGCGTGCACGTGACGAGTTCACGGCCGGAGGTGCCATTCGAGATCTCGAAGAAGAAGAGACTCCGTGGAGCAGGCAGGAACGGCGAGAGGCAGCAACAACCTGCAGAGCGGCGTTTGTTCCGACGACGACGACGAGCAACGAAGTTTCCATGGATCCAGCAAGTGCCGTTGTGGAAGTGCATGGTTTGCCTCACCTCGCCGGGGGCGGGCTCGTACTCTTTGTCAGGGTGCGAGGCGTTGTAGACGTCCAGGCAATCCGCCGCGACCTGGCGATCCAGAGCTAGTCGGGTGATGTGGCTCGCGGAGCGTCTCGAGCAGGTCCGGGAGCAGCGGTTGGCCGACGGCGACGCAGCTGCGGTCAGGGCCGAGGAATGGGAGCCGCCGCCACCACGGGAACGGCTTGGGCGGGACTAGAATGATGCCCTCCAAACTCTTCAGGTACTCTTTTCGGCGGGTGGACGCATCATCGGCGGCCGACGGCGCTGCTTGCGCGACTCCGACGAGGGGAGTGGTCTCCTTCTCCGCATCCGCATGGATGGGGATGGCTTCCATGGACGGAGGCATGGCTGCTCTGCTTCTCCTCTGCGGCTCTGCCCCCCGATCGGCTGCGCAGTTGTATGTCAGCTCAATTCAGTCACCGTGAACCAGTGACAGAGTGTGGCATGAACGACATTTCAGTATAGCCACAGCCTCAGGTCAGGTGTGAACCGTTTCGATTTGCCCGGATCTTTTGTCAACAAATTGGACAGAACCAGTTAATTTTAGCAATTCAGAGTAGACTCCTTTCTTTTCGTAAAAAGAGTGAGAGAGTTAATAAGATATTAGTTAGTACTAATAATACTAAGAGATATATATAGCAGACAATTTCATGTCTCCTTTCTGGAAAATATCCCAAACTTTGGAAGCTCCTCTTGATATTGAAAAGGTAAAAAAAAAAAATCTCTCAATCCTTTTCTTGTGGTGTTTTGGCTATCTCGTTTAGTTTGCAGCATTACCCTCTCTAAAGGTATCTATGGTATTTTCAATTGTCAGTTTGTTGTTGGTGTTGGTGTTACCGTCATCAACAACAACAACGATGTGTTTCTGGGCACTGTTGCCGTGGAGCTGCAAAACTTACAAAGAAACAAAGTGATGCTTAGTGCTTCCACATTCTACAATCATTTTCCATGACATTAATCGTGCTAGGCCATACAATTGTAATAGCTTTGCAAAAACAAGCATACCCAACTCCAGGATTAGCAGCGCAAGAGGAAACTTTTTGTACCAAAATACAGTACACTAGTATATAATATACCCAGAGCAACTAGGTCCAAACAGATGAAATATCGAGCGCTTAGTGCTGTCTTAACTACAACCTCATTTTCCCATACTCTTGAGAGTCTCCCTAGTCCTGAGATCTCAGTATCTATAGATTACTATGCTGCAACTAGAAGCTTTGCCAGTAGGAACATCAGTGGCCTATCAAGACATTCATTCCCCGGTGATCACTGCACCAAGGTACACCGGTCCGCCCCCGTGTTACAAGTAGAGCTAGATATACATTGCTACCATACCTCACCGCTGCTTGCATCATAAACGTGATTATAGCAAACTACTTATGTACAGAAAAAAAAGGGCCTTGTCTTCTGGGATCAGCTTCAGTTTTTACTCCAGTTCGGATTCTGACACCTCTTCCTCGACCAGCTCAAATGCGTCGATATCTGCAAAGTATGCTCTCTGCTTCTCCAAAAGGTCCTCTAGTAAGTTGGGTGTGCTTGCAATGGACAGCTTCTGCTTCAGAAATGGCAAGCAATTAGAGACCTGGAAGTTATGGCCAATGTATGGAGAAGAACTGATCTTATAAATGCAGCTTTAAGCGTACTATAAAACTGCAGTACCTAACCTTCAAACACTTTATATATGGCATAGCATAAATGTTCAGAACAGATGCACTTTATGCAAAGGAGAACCGGAGTGAAACTTTAACACATCACAGACCTTATTGCAGGCACAGCTCTAATTAATTAAATACTACCACATGATAAAGTTTGAACTGATGGCATTTCATTCTGTACACGCCTTAATAATAACAGGAAACTTGGTAGGGTCATTATGAGGAAATGCACTCAGATTGTGTCCCTGCTTACCTTTTTACCTTCATGGCAAGGAGCTGATGCAGAGATGGGCCGAGTATCCTTTTTCCTGAAAGATTAGTGAAATTCAATAGTTCAGTAAACCAAATGTACTCAGACTGTAACCGTTAGGTAGAAACAAGACAGACTAAAGGATCCCTATAGTCCTGACACCTGAATATCCTGTTCATGTGATGTGAATGCTGAGACTATATGACATATAAGTTTGTTGCGTCTGCAATTCAAGACATCACAACACCACTTCTACTCTATATCACTGGTGAGACACGTAGTGTAGCTCTAGCACATAGTCTTGTATACCGTTTGTAACCTGCGTAGCAGCAGCGTGGTGATCGTGATCACCAGCGCTCCCACGTCGCGCACGATCGCGTGACCGAGGCGGTTCCGGTGCCCTGCGTGGTCAACCGTACCTGCACCCAATGTAATTGTGTATAAACTCTCATGAGCTCAATAGATGCGACCTGTTGGCTCCTAATTCTTCTCTACATGGTATCAGCTGCGCGGGTTTCCCGATCCTAAACCGCTCGCCGCGCATCTCGCCGCGATTCCTTTGCACCGCCGCGGTCACCGCGGTTGCCCTGCTCGCCGCTGCTCTTTCCATCTCCGCTGCTCTTCCCTCCCCTCGATCCCATGGACATGGATCGTCTGTTGGCTCCTAATTCTTCTCTACAATCACTATATATCATTTTGCAAAAATCAATGCAAGCATTTAAGGCATTAAGTATTACAGCAATTCCATCCTATGAAAACAAAAGGAATGGAAAGTATTCATATCAGCCGCTTGAACTCTTGTTACCAATAAGTGCATTGGATCGGAACATTGCAGAGTAAAAGGTCAATGAAATTATGTGACGCGCACATTGGATGGGCATACAGGACACAGCACAACGCTAAGCGTGGTGGACGGTGATTCTCACTGATTATAATATCATTATGCCCCTTTTAAAAAAATAACTAACAGAGTATTGACCCTCACAGGCAATCAGGAATGTGCATTATGAAAAACAGGTGTACTTATCTGGCGTCTAGTTGCCACACAAAGTAAAGACAATGATAACAAGTTCCCAGTCACAATTGCACACAGCCTGACAGACGAGAGGCACTAACACTGACGAGGCTGAATTGAACATACACCAACGCAGATGACATGTACTGGGGCCAGGCAAGGCAAGCAAAGTAATCTCACCTGCTATGGGTCCTTGCAGATTTCCCAAGAGGGGGGCAACTCGCCGTTGCGGCGACGGGTCCCTTGCCCTTGCTGTTGGCAGCGGCGGGGTTCCTCCTCCACCTCCCCTGAGCCTCGGTGGTCCTGCGGTAAACTGTGGAGATGGCCGGCGATTTGAGCACACTGCGCTCCTCCTCGATGACTGCAGACGAAGAAGAGGTACCAGGATTAGAAATCCCAGCCCAATGCGGATCGAAGGGATGGCGCTACCAGTTTACTACAGTCAATTGCAGCGGATCGAGCACGAATCGGTGCCGTAGCTTCACTCACCGGCAGCGGAGGAAGGCTTGGGAGCGGGCGTGACGAAGGCGGGGGAGGAAGGCTTGCGCGCGGGCGTAACCGAGGCGGCGGAGGAAGGCTTGCGCGCGGGCGTGACGAAGGCGGCGGAGGAAGACTTGGGCGCGGGCGTGGCCGAGGCGGCGGAGGAAGGCTTGGGCGCGGGCGTGACCGATGCTGAGGAGCAGGCGGAGGAGACCGCGGAGACGTCGGAGAGCGCGGGGAGGGACCGGCGGGCGGTCCTCCTGGGCTTGCTCGGGGACGGGGACGGGGTCGGGGTCTCAGAGACGACGAGGAGGTTGGTGACGTCGCCCAGCGGCGCCGCTGCAGCCGCCGCCTTCCGCTGCCGCTTGGTGGCGCCGGACTTCGGGCTCGTCAGGGACGCCCCCGGCGCCACGGGGCTCTTCGAGGGCATCATCGTCGGGGTCTGGACCGCGTGCGGTGCGGGGAATGGGAAGAGCGGGAAGGGGAGGCACAGGAGGAGAGGGGAACGCGAGGAGGCCGGGAGATGGGGCTTGCAGGGGAAGGCAGGTTGGAGAAGAAGGGCTATGTCTTGTGTTCGTGGACCGACGTGGGCTTCAACTCTATGGATTGAGGTGGGCTATGACCCAACACGTTGATTCCCATGGTTTTGGGGCTTTAAGATTTAATGGGCCTATATAAGCCAGCTGTTCTCAAAATTTTAATTTTTTCCGAATTTGAAACACAAACTTAATCTGCATAAAATAATTTTTTTTTAAAAAAAATAGGTCCTAACCCCCTGGGCAGAATGCGCCGGTTTGGCTTCGTGCAACCAGTATCAGCAAGACTGCAGGAGCCCCATACATAACCTGATAAACCAGGAACATGTTTGTGATTTGCGACTCCTGTAGTAATATAGCGGATACTCCCATGTTACAAAGAGACGTTCTATTTGATTTTTCTAGTTATGTTATTTTTACTATGTATCTATATACAATGTATATTTAAATACATAGAAAAAGTTACGTATCTAGAAAAACCAAAAACATCTAATTTAAAATGGAGAATTACATAAAGACAATAACATACGCAAGCACCATTTTTTTAAAAAAAAAGATTCGGTTACCCGCTTTGATTAATAATAAGGAGTTAGCATACAACAATGATTACGTCTTAGTCTACACAGGGTTTATGATATTAGAAACCGGTTTAGCATTGTTGCTCACATGGAAATAAGCACTGGCGGAGCCAGGGGGGGCTGGCAGGGGCCATGCCCCCCCCCCCCAATGTTTGACAACAAAAAAAATTAGTAGTATAACTTAATATTTTTTATTTATATTAAGAGGAAGATTATATAAAATTCTTGTCATATATACCTATTAATATCTTCTAGATAATATAATCATACAAAACACAACTAGATAATAAAATTATCGCAATGAAAAAGACCGAGCCGGCCCCCCCTAAGTATAATTCCTGACGGCCGGCCCCCCCTGACTATAAATCCTGGCTCCGCCACTGGAAATAAGTTATTGTGTATTCTAGATTTGAAGTCCTTTATAAATTTTCTTATGAGGCCGAGCCTGATATAAATATTTAACGCCTTTTTTTAGGGGAATCTTAACACCTAGTGGACGGCCCCTCCATCCCAGGCCTGCGACAAACATGGCCCGACGCGGCCCGTGGAACGCAATTAGTCCAGAATTTCCGGCCCGAAATGAACCGTGCTTTTTCTTTCGGCCCACAAAATGTTGCGATCATCCTCATCACCGACTCGCCCTCGCGGCCGAACGAAATCCAATTCTGGTGCGCTTCATGGTGTATTTGTGGCGGAGTCCGTCGTACATACGCCACCGTCCAACCTCCTTCCTCCCTCCCTGATCTCCCCTTGCCCAACCGCGCCGCCATGCCTCCCTCCTGGGTCTTGCTCAACCGATGCGTCGACTACAGCTTCAACGACGACGACGACGAAGACAACGGCGATGAACCCACGTCGTCGTCGGCTGCGGCTGCGGCGGCGGCGGTTGAGATCATGTGGGGAGCCAAGGCAGCATCATCCATCCTATCCTTTTACAAGGCCAAGGTCGCCATGCTGCTCTCCTTGAAGCCAGATGACGCCGTCGCCCTCCTCCCCGAACCGCCGGAGATCGCCATCTTCAGGCTGCGGTGCTCCAACTCCCACCGAGGCTCGCTGTCCTCCACCCCCCTCGTCGCGTGCGCCGACAAGGGCCTGCTCGTCATCTACGGCGGCGGCTACTTCGGCCCGGGCTCGTCCACGTGCGGATGCTGCTACCTCGTCTACTCCGCCGCTCGCCTCTCCACGGTGCCCCCGCCCCCCGAGGCGCCGCGCGGCCTCATCAACGGGATCGGGTCGGGAGCCGTTGTCCTACGGCGCTGCCATCCCGGCGGCGGCGGCTCTTCCTCCCCCTACTACCTGCTCGCCGAGCTCGCCATCATGCCAAAGCGCAAATCCCCCGACCCCGATGCTGTGCTCCTCCTGTGGCGCTCCGACGAACCCCAGTGGGCCAGAAAGGAGGTCCGTCTCCCCCGCGAGGTCAAGGTGTGCAAGGCACCCGGCGACGACGACAAGCACGTGTTCTACAGCGACACCTCCTTCTCCGGGCCCGGCGGCTGCCTGTGCTGGGTGGATCTGCTCCACGGCATCGTCGTCTGCACCAACACTTTGGATCCTGACCCTGAGCTCCGCTTCATCCCCTTGCCCGACGGGTGCCCCCCGGTCAGTGTGACCGACTACCCCTACCGCCCGCGCCCGGAGGAGGATCGCTCCGCCGCCTGCGTCGGCGGCCGCATCAAGCTCGTCGCCATGGTGGGTGAACTGGCAGGCTGGAACGCCAACCAGTACATTCTCACCACCTGTATCCTGTCGCCTGACCTCGCGCGGCTGGCAGCAAGACGGCGTGTTCCCCCTCAAGGACCTCTGGGCGACGGAGGAGTACCGCGAGCTCAACCTGGTGCCGCCGCAGCAGACGCCTGTCTGCCCCGTGCTGAGCGTGCGCGACGACGGCGAGGATGTTGTCGTCTACGCCGTCGTGAATGATATCGAGGAACACCCCGTCGTCCAGGGTCGTCAGGTTGTTCTGGGAACCGAGCTGGAGTTCAAACGCCAGTATGTTCTTGGCATCGACGTGCGCCGCAACAAGATCGTCTCCACCAGCTCTGGTGTTCCACCGGAAAGCCTGATGCAGATGATGCCCCGCCTCCTGTCTGTTGATTTCTGCGCGGACCGCCAGGTAATGTCTGCTAACTGTGGTTACACTAGAACACTACTTCTTATATCAAAGCCAGCTAGGCGCTGACCCTCAGTCTAGCGCCTAGGCGGGATTAATGGCGCCTAAACGTCCCTGGGCGTTTTCCTAAGCGTTTTCCAATACATGCTTAAATTTATTAATACATACTTAAGTACTTAAAAGAAAAGAAAAAATAGAAGACTAATGGTCATAGAATATAGAGAAAAGAGAAGAAAGGCCCATAAAAACGGCCCAGCCCACCTTATCCACCATTAAAAACAGCCCAGCCACCTTATCCACGCCTCCTCCCACACCGCCGCCGCCCGCGCACGCGCCAGCGCCCGCCGCTGTCCGCGCCTGCGCCCGCCACCGCCGCCCGCAACTCCTCCCCCACCAACGACCTCCGCCAGGCGCTCCTCCACCCCCACCGGCGCCGCCGACGAGCCGCCGCCGCCTAGGGGTCCGCCTACCCCCATAGGCGGCGGACACCCTCCGACTCGCGCCTAGTCGCGCCTAGGCGAGCGCCTAGCGGAACCTTGTCTTATATAATAATATTGCTAGCTGTTGTTCCAGAGTTATACACTGATACATATATATTTGTTCCAGAGTTTCTATGTTACTACGTTTGTCGACTGATTTTGCCGGTTTAGGTGTTAGTTTTAAGTTTAAACTACTCCCCTCTGTCCAAGTTTGATGAACATATATAAGGCCCAAAAGAGGTTTTTGAGAATCGATAAACGCGTAATGCAAGCTCAGCAGCTACTATATACCTAGGTGCTAGTTTTACTCAGGTGATCAATATAATGAGGTGCTATTCTCTAGCTAGCAGTTGTGAGTTGTGACTCGTGTTTACTGGATAACAGTGAGAATTTTCCTTCTAATTGGGCTTGCTGCCCCAAGCAGATAAGCTGATCATAGATGTACAGAAGTAAAAAAAAAATTGTTGTAAATGAAAGCTATATATCTATAATAAGTATGTGTTTTTGCCTGTAACAAATGAACCTGTTCTGAGTCAGTTAAATAGCAATATGTCATCATCATCTGGAAAATACTGCAGAATTGGACATTATTGGCAGGTTCTCTACATGTGAAACCTAGCATTCCTATATTTTGCTACATCTGTTGTTCACTGCCTCTTTGTTTTTCTTTCTTAATTAATTGTTTTAGCTTTCATCTTAAAAAGGATAGATTAGTTCTCTAACTGGACATTTTTCATTATTACTACAATTTGATTGAAGCCTCCTTTTTTTTCCCTGACAGAGAGATGTGGAAGCAAGCCAGGTTGGAGACAGGGGAAAGAGGCTGAAAGTTTGACTGATTCATGGATCTGGGCAGCATATTATTAGCACCGTGGCGGGGCTGATGGCTGCAAGTTAATTATCATGTAGGATTAACATTATGGCTTTGTTCTGTCGAGCAGACTCCCTGGCTGGATGTCTGGATGTTTTAAGTTCAACTAGTAGATGGTTTAATCATTTGTCGCAACCTACTGTTATCAGATGCTGCTTTTCTGAACCGAGTGGCCAGGCCTGGTAACTAGTACTAATATGTCCTAGACAATGGTGGATCAGGATGGCACCTTTTGGAAGATTGTTCTGCTTATGCAGATTATCAATGTGTAAACCATCATGAAGTTATGGATGGTGCTTATGCAGACTATTATCATAATGAAATCCTCCATTTGTGACTTACTTAGCCTGTTTTCATGTTGCTGCCCATGAATAGTACTCCCTCCGTTACAAATTGTCACAAATTATAAGACGCTTCGGTTTTTCTAGATACCCTATAAGCTTTTGCTATGTACTCCGCCTTGGAATGGAGTTTGTAGATATACACTGTCAAAATGCATGATAAAAACGTTTATAATTTAGAACAAGGAAGTATCAACTAATTTAGGAGGAACCCCGCCGCATCAGCAAGGGCAAGGAACCCGTCGCTGCCACGTACGGCAGCCTGCCCTCCTCTTGGGAAATCTGCAAGGACCAAGAACAGGTGTGATTACTTGCCTTGCCTGGCCCCACCGCCCCAGTACATGTCATCTGCGTTGGTGTATGTTCTCGTCAGTGTTAGTGCCTCTTGGCTGTCAGGCTGTGCAATTGAGTGTGACTGGGAACCTGTTGGCTTAGTAGTATGTAGGTTCTTTTGTGGGTGCCACAGACAGGCGTGCCACATCCTGTATGCTCATGCATCCAATATGCATGTCGCATAA